CTGTGTAATCTAGCATGATTCCTGCTGATGTTGGCTGGCACAAGCTTGATGACAGCCTGCACAACCTGTCAAATCCAATAAAAGTCAAGAAAAAAACCTTTTAAGCATATAGAAAAATATCGGTTTCCCTAATCTGGAGACCAGCTTCGACGCTTTGAGGGATATAGTCTGTTTTGCATTTTGACTTCAGTTTTCAGGAAACTAATGTTGCCGTTTAGTTAAAATAAGTACTCTTGGAAATTTATTCTGCCTCTCTTCGCCGTTGCACATTTCTACATTCCAAATGCAAGAGAAGACTACTTAATAGGATCAAGTAAATAAAAAAACATAGCAATAACTTAAACGGCCAACAGGCTCGAATTATTCGATCTCCCATTCTTAACTACCAGGTACTTGAAGCGTATTCCTAGTGCCAGCTAGTCGGTGTTTGGTACCATTGAGATCAAGCAAAGAAGATTGTCATTGCATAAATCTAGCAAGGTAAATAGAAATAGTAAAACATTCTTATATAAATATGGATAAATACATCTTGCCCATAAAATATATCAGAAAACCAATGGATGGTATTGCTCAGTAACAGAAACCTATGTTGTTTGATACGGACGCTTTTTTAGTGAAGCTGTAAGAAGAAACAGAAATTGGCATTACACATTTAACGGCATCTCTCCTTGACGAGGATATCTCAAAGACACAAAAGATTCCTTTGGTAGCTAGTTTTTACAACAACTACATGCAGAGTCAGCTCAAAATTCGAACTTTTGTACAGGTATGCTCCTTGCAAGGCAGGTAATCCATCAAGGTATACGTAAGAAAATTAAAGAATATATAAAAGATTAAATCTACAGCTTAAATTCCCTTCTGTATTCTCAAAATAGTAAACACTATTTGCACTGCGTCATTTCGTGATTAATCCATGTCATATGACTCTTACATAATTTTGATGATGTAAATGGAACTAAAGCTCAAGCAGCCTCTAGTAATTTTATAGCAATATTAACTATCCAATCAAAATGCATTGAGAACCAAAACTAACTCAGTCTGAAGTAAAATTTCACCCTGAACATTACGCACTTGCTTTCTACGCTTTGCTTAGGACTGCAGTTTGTCAGATCCTTCTTTTATTACTACAAATCTATCAAAAGTGTAAGCTTTTTGGAATAGGCACAATTAATATGCCAACTTTGTTACCGCAACATATTTGCTGAAATAAAAGTTGAATTAAATCTATCTCGACCGCCAAATTCTTATTCATTGTGGATTGGATTTTTAACATCTCTGAGCCGTTTAAATTCCGTTTGCTTTCCACGCTTTGGCCTAGCTACACTACTATCTGTCTACTGCTGCTTTCTTGCTACAAAGTTATCAAAAATGTAAGCCTTTTCGAACAGGCCCATTTAATGTGCCGACTTGTGTTTAGCCGCAATATATTGCTGAAAATAAAACTGAAGATTTAATCTGCCTTCGCCTCCAAATTTCTAGTTATTATGGATTTCACATTTCTGCAAAAATTCTAAGCTGTTATCAGAATTCAGCTGACGATAACTTGAAGTTTTAAACTAAGGTGCTGTAAAGTCACTTGGTTTTTTTTTAATTCTGGAGACTGAAAAAATGTGCAAAGCCCTCACGGGACGAAATACGGACCTCTCGGCATGCATCGAGTGCGCTTCCACTTATACCATGAAGTCATGCGGAAAGGAGAGAAAAATACCTTATGCACTCCCCCTTTTAAAGGGCGATTGCGGAGGAAGGGACCCAACCGCCAGATTGTGATGGTGAGGAATTATCGTGCCCCACGTTTTTAGCACGGGTTCCACTTTAGAGTCATTAGATTCTTTAATGCTGGAGACGTGAAAAATGTTCAATGTTCTCACGGGGATTCGAGCTCCGGACTTCCTGACACGCGTCGAGTGTGCTTCCAGTTACACCACGATGACATGATACCTTATGATGGAAACTGAAACCTCTTGGAGATAAATGCTCGTTCAAGGTTACCTTTATCTCTTTGGATTGTAGAGCTTTTAGTGCTTTCTAGTATTTCAGGATATAGCAGGCTTGACAAAATATGTGTACATAAACACAAGTTTAATTATTTGTTGATATAAGATTCTCTCAGTTTTTGCTTGAAAACTTCAGTTGAAGTTTAGTACTTGAATACATATTCATAAGCTCTTTATTCCGTTCGCAAAGGAGAAGTAGGATCTTTTGCGTAGGCGTTATGATTTATAAAAGTAAACTTTTCATTCCGTAAAATATCAATATACACTGGTGTGCAAAAATTAAGGACGAGACAGTTTTTTTCAATATAACTTTGTACAAAAGCTTTCCAAATCGGACATGAGTAATGTAAGCAACACTTACTAAAAGAGAAATCAGAGGGATAAAAAGAAGCTTTATTGAAAACGTAGCATGGAGCGCAATGCGACTGAAGGCCGAAACATCCCTGTGATGGGTGTCCAGCAAGAAACATTCGGTCTTTAATAGGGGATATGATCTCCCCTGACTGCTAGGCAGGTTTCACAGCGTCTGCCCATGCTGAGAATGAGGGTGTCAATGAGTTGTTGAGGCATTGCTGCCCATTCGTCTTGCAGCGCCAATCGAAGCTCCGGAATCGTTACTGGTGGTAAGGTACGAGCTGCCAAGCGTCTGCCTAGAAATCCCATACATGCCCGATGGGATTGAGATCCGGAGATCGTGCCGGCCAATCCATACGTTCAATATCCTCACTCTCTAAGAGCTGTTCGGCAGCTACTGTGCGATGACATGGTGCATTGTCGTCCATGAAAAGGAACTGCAGACCCATAGCGCCTCTAAAAAGACGCACATATGGAAGAAGAGTCTCGTTACAATAACGGGTCCCGTTGACTGAACCTGCGTCGAAGATGTGATGATCTGTACGACTACCAAGCATGATGCCTCCCCAAACGAGAACACCGCCACCTCCATACCTGTCCCTTTCAATGATGTTCGAGGGATGATTGCGGCTTCCCCGCTCTCTCCAGATGAGTATGCGATGAGAATCGCTACTCAGACTGAATCCGCCCTCATCTGTAAAGAGTACTCGTCCCCATTCATTGTCTCTCCAATTCTGGTGTTCCCGGCACCACAGAGAACGCCTTCTCCGATGGGCAGGCGTTATACCGTACAGGGCGTCGTGCAAACAGACCACCACCGTGCAGTCTTCTGGCCACGGTTAAAACGCGATATCGGTCGTCCAGTCGCCTGTGTCGTGTGTGTAGCGATTTCTCCCGCTCTCTGCCGCCTGTTTCTTCTGGCCTGTAAGGCAATATACCGGTCATCTGCGGGTGTGGTTTCTCGTGGACGACCACTACTAAACCCCCGGATAGCTGTTCCTGTAGTTTGAAATTGTCTCCAAAGACGTGAAACGATGCTGTGAGCAATTCCGAACTTTGCGGCCACATTTGTCACACTGCGGCCTTCCTCCAACTTCCCAATGATTCGACCTCGGGTAAAAGCATCCAGATGTCGTCTAACAGATTTATTATTCGCCATTTCTCGCTGAGGCAGCAACTCGGTGTGATTTTAACTGCTATACGGCGTGCAATCTCTTTGCCAGAAATACTGATCTTACACCGACAACATGCTTTATACTACTCAGACACTCCCCCATTACGTCTACCTGCATATCTGCGCATGTGCTACCGTGCATCACCTTACTTAATCTCCTGATTGGTCTTTCTGTCCGCTCTGCCTCTTTGTTCAGCTGATAGGCTAATTTTTCGACTTCGTCCTTAATTTTTGCACACCAGTGTATATTAATTGAATAATGTTGTGAATTGTGATTATGCTATTATATTCATATTACTAACTACATCTGTAATTTATAGGCCTAAAACAGTAAAAAAATTATTTTAATGGACAAGATATCAAACCAGGAGTTACTACCTAATTGAATTTTTAAAATGTTGCATATTACAAGTTCTGACATTTAGAAGTCCTGAATCTTTCTCATGCAGGAGTCAATTCATCAGATTTTCCTTGTCGAAATAAAGACTTAGTGTACAGTTATAAGCGTTTTTGTTCTGACTTAATATTTCTTAAAAACGGCTTGCTCCCATAATGTTAGATTTAACATTTTGAGTTTACATACAGACACTTGTGACAGGAATGTACTTATGACAGGAATTGCCTCGTCTTACAAAGTCAGTTTAGAGAGTTTAATTACAGTTAATTCAAATGCATCAATAAATAACTATATGTTATTTATCGTTATGTAAATAATCTTGTACACTCTCTATGACGGGCAGGGCTATATACACAGATGAAAGGTAAACCGCCAACAAACAATCCACACTTCCTGGGCTCGATACGCGAATCTTTAGCAACAAATACCAGCAGTGTCTTCAGAAAGAACTATCTCTGTTGTTTCTGTGGTCTTTTGATAGAGCCGCCTTTCTTTCATTAAACAAATACAAGGAATTTAGAATTAGATTTTAACATGGACGTTCGTATTATTCATTGAGCGAAGAAGCCCACCACTAAAGATCTAAAATTAATAATATCTTGGAATAAGTCATCTATACCATACTATTAAAAAAAAGCTTTAGTTTTTCTTACCTTTTTGTTTTTGATCCCTATTAAGTCTATTTCAGAATTACTGTGCGTGACTGTATATCAGATATAAAAATATAAAACAAGTTTGGATTTATTGAATTTAACTTTTTAATGCTTTGAAGGCATCAGATTATTTTCTCCTTTTTAAAGTGAAATATTGTCCTAAAAGACAAAACTCTGGGAGCATTTCGAAATGTAATGAACACCTTACAAACAAATTAAGTAGTGTTTCAGCTGCCCAGTTTACAAGTATTTATAAATTATATTAATACTTTAAGAAGTATACAGCGTCAGAAATACTGTATGTAGATGGCTATGCAAGGATAGTGTTGTTTTCCTCAACAAAGGTTTTGATGAATTCTGATTAAAAAGTTTTAGCCGACTGTGTATGTCTAAATGGAAATGGTTTTCAGAAATCAGGAAAATAATAAAGATACTTTATTTAAAAAATGTATACAAGATTACAATTTATAAATAATTTTCCTAGCCTCTATACAAAATACCATATACTCCAATATAAAAAAAACCAATCAGTGTTATCTATTTACATGTTACAAAGTCTTAAACGTATAATCATTTTTATATCAAATATATTTAATAAATATGATGGCTGTAATATCGCATCACGTGTAAATTACAACGATTTGAAAGAAAATGCAATTAATAGCAAAATATTTGATAATAATCAAGGAATTTATTATAAATAATACTTCGAAGAAAGTAATCAACAAATATTTACTCTCATTGCGATCGAAAAATAAAGTAATTGGATGATGGAAGCACTACATTATGTTACTGTCCCATCCATAATATACCTCCCAAATTGGTTTTCCGGCTACTTCTTTAGGAGCAACGCAGTCACCTTTGAAGTTATTGACTCGACGAATCTTCTTCAGCCATTCCAATTTCCTATCACACACTATTTTGTTTCCTGAAATTAAAAGGACATATTTTTACGTCTTGTACACAGCTATATATATATAAACAAGAAGTAAGAAATTTCAAATTTAGATTATCACTTAAATATTAATTATGAGTATGCGGAGAAATGATTTAAATAAATGAGGGACGATAATCAAATCAGAAAGGGTGGCTAAGTAGCTAATTAGAAGAGCACAGATAAAATTTGAAATGAGAACAAACGATAAAAGGAAAATAATAATATAAGAACTAGTTTAAAATTCTTTGGTCTTTTATCTGAACTAATTAACATTCCTTCCCGATTTAATTATTATCTCTTGATTGTATATATATAGTATATATTTGAAGAAAATAGTGTTTACTAATTCCAAACTTTTGTTAAATAACCTTGAACGAAAGGTTTGTTTAGCCTCAAATATATTATATATAAAAGGGTGCTAGAAGTGAATTCTTTAAAAATAAAATGCTAGTTTCTCCAAATATAAAATAAATGTCCTGGATATAAAAATAAATATTGGATGGAGTACGAAAAATATTATTTTTAAAAATTGACTCTTTCTGTCCTTTCTGTTTGTAATCCGTGTTTATTTGAATATGTTCTATTCTATTAATTACATTTAAGCACACTTTTAATTTCAAAGCAACGTTAATATAAAACAGTATAAGGTGCATTTGATCTGAAAGAAATTAACTGAATGAACCATTCCCATATAATTAATGAGAGTTTCAGTACAGCTAAGGACTAAAAAATTGTATCAGCGTTAAGTATTGGTTCTTACTCTTCTAAGGTATTTTCTCCCTCCTTTCAGAATGCCTTCGTGTTGTAACGGCAGCACACTCGACGTGTATTCGACAGGTCCAGGCTCGAATCCCGGCGAAGGCATTGCTCATTTTCACCTCTCTTGCTTAATAAGAAACCTAATATACTACACCCTTACGTTTAATTTAAAAGATTACTATTATAATAATACTTTAAAAATTAAATGATAACTAGTTCAAAATAGTAACCACGCATTCCTCATTCATATTTAAAATTTTCTTAGGAGTTTAAAAAAGGACATCTGCAAGTATCTTTGCACTTAGAAGATTTATATTTTTATCAACTAAGTGTTCCTGCAGGGCTACGGAATGATACGGCTCTTTAGGACCGATGATTGCATCGCTTCGATACTATACTTAACAGTACATCATATACTCCTAAAAAATATCAATTTTTGATCATATATTTTGAAACTATAAATCTAATCAAGTAATACAATCAGGAAAAATATTATTCTCTTTTCTGTTTGCAATTTGGCTAAATTCAAGAGATACCAAAATCCGTGAATGTATCAATAATTTTAATTTCATATATAAGAATAAGATAAAAGTCTAAAAAGTGCATTTATTTTCAAATATTTTTCGCAGTTACCTGTCAGAATAACATCAGAAAGATTCTCCCACACTGGTAACCATGTCATTTTTGGTAAGGTTTTTAAGTTGTTTTCAGCCAAAAAGACATGTTTCAAGGAAGGCATATAAAAGAAGAAGTCAAATGGCAATGTCTCAATCTCATTGTTACTAAAATAAGAAATTCAAGTTTTATAATTCATATTCATTTCAAAACTGTAATATTACACAGCCTATTAGAAAAAAGAAGAGAAAATAACAAATTCAAATTTTATAATTCATATTTGTATTCGTTTTAAAGTGTAATATTACACAGTGTATTAGAAGATAGAAGAGAAAATAAAAAATTCATGTTTTGTAATTCATATTTGTTCTCATTATAAACTGTAAATTACACAGTACATTGGAAAAGAGAAGCTATAAAATTTATTTCTTTAATAGTTTCTTAATATGCGCGTTTCTAATTAGAAATTTTCTTAAAGTATTGTACGAAGTTTTACGGTAACACTTTCAATACACAATTAATAAAACATTCATGATTTTAGTTAATAAAACATTCATGATTTTAGTTAATAAAACATTCATGATTTTAGTTAATAAAACATTCATGATTTTAGTTAATAAAACATTCATGATTTTAGTTAATAAAACATTCATGATGCATTAACAAGTTAACTTAAACTGTTTCTTACATTTACATGCAAATGCCGCATATCTCTTTGATGGAACCAGATACACATTTTGAAACGAATGCCAGTTTTTTTTCTGCATACGGCACCATTTATGTCCAAAGCGTATGATGAGCAGTTTTCTGAATTTAATCGCAAAGATTAAGAATTAAGTTTAGATCAGTAATGGACCTTGAGATCCTATTTAGATCAGTAATATATTCTCTAATACAGTTTCGAAATTTGAGGAAAATTATAAAATATGCGGAAAAAGCATCACGAGTAGCTTATTTAATGAAATGCATTAATTTATGCGGATCGGGCAACACTCAAAAATACATTTACAGAACATGTAGTATTAAAATTGATTAAAAAAATTCTGTATAAATTCGTAAGTGAGAAAAAGTATATAGGATCCATATTTAAAAGAATGAAGATTGTGACTAAATTTATCAAGTAGTTTGCATCAAAAATGTCTATAGCTTATTATTTACATATTCTGCTATTTAAATATTTCAGAGCTGTTCTAAAGAATAAAAAATATACAAAACTGTTACTGACATAACTGATGAGTACTGAATATTAATTTAAATTCTATAATGAAAGAGGCTAATTTAGATGTAATTTTAGTTGCAAAACAAATTTGAATTTACTTCTATACGACTAACGTCCTTTTCATATCGCTCTACAGACATAATATATGTAATTCAAATAGTACACTATAAAAATCTTATGAGGTTTCTTATCACTGGTAAAAAAGCACTTTCTTCTAAGTAACTCATTACTTTATAAGTATTAATGGTATATTAGTCTTACAAAACAGCTACAGGGCTGGTATAAATCAATGAAAAAAGTTTCGTATGAGTATTGTCTTAAATTTTGAAAAAAGCAGGCACATGTTACATAAGTTAATTACTACTCAAATCATACAAATTAATTTAAGATTCGTTAATGATATAGCGTGCGGTTTACTGCTTTTGCGTTCATATCGTAGATGCGATTTTCGAAATGAAAGAATTTTATCAATCCTGCATACGGTATTGGATTTTGAAGCTAAAGATTTTGCACAATTCAGTATTATTGTACCAATTATACACCACGGCGCAAATGCTTTTATGTTATCTCGTATAAGCCCGTTGGAGAACAATTAAACGAAAATGAAGACCATTTTTTAGCCCTTCAGCGTTACATTCATAGTGTATATTTTTCATAAAAATGGCCCCTTTTAAAAGTCACTTCTGCTTTTGTTTTGTAAAACTGAAAGCGATTAAAATTTAGTTGAACTAAAAATTCAGTAAGTTATTAAATTAATTAGTGGAATAATTTACATTAATAGGTTCTAAATTAGTTGTATTTATTTTCATATTTAAAATTAGAGTTTTAATGGTATATAAATTTTTGAGATTTTCGTTGATTGGTATTATTTTAATTAATTTGGTATTTTAATGGTAATGTGCATATTTGAGAAATATAGCTAATTAAGAGCAATAGATCGCATATTATATCAGTACATAAGGTTCTGCATTTAAATTAATATATTTTTATCCACACGATAAATAATCAGAAGTATATTTCAATTATGTGTAGATTCTTGTTTTTTCCTTGCGTTGCATAGATACTGCTAAAATTATAATTCTGAATTCTCACCTCTATGATTTACGTTATCAAATATTTTCTAACATGAAATTTAGATTTTTTGTGGAAAGGAATATATTTTTCTTTTGTAGCATATACGTTTCATAAAATTAATAACTATTATGTTTAAAATTTAATTTAAAAAATTTGTAATTTAATATATGAAAAATCTGCACGTAATAATCATCATCATCATAATAATAATAATTAAGGAAATACATAATAAATAAATAAATATTACAAGATGAAAGTTGTAAACTAATTTCCAATTATACTCTGTCAGCTCTAAAAACTGGTAGCAAACTCAAGAAATTTAATCAAACATTTAAATTTAATGCATATTCAAAGCAGAGCATTTTTAGATAAACGAGAAAAAATTACGTTAGATCGATTTTTTCCAGATGCTGAGCTGGGTACGAAAACATTGGTCTGCTAACACTCCTGATTTGATTGTTAGCCATAGATATACTCTTCAATTGTGACAGTGTAGAAAATGCAGTTATTTCCACTTCGGTTATACCATTGTTATCTAAGACGAGAGTACGAACATTAGGTACTTTTCCATTCAGCCATGTATCGTAGATCTTCGGCAGGTGATTGAACTTCATTCTAAACTCTTCAAGTTTACTAAGGCGTGCCAAAATGAAATCATCTTTGCTTTTGATCACAGAATGTTCGAAAACATACAAGTACCTCAAAGTATCATCTAAGCCTGTAAAAGCCGGTTGTGAGAACTTTAATGTGGAATTATTAACTGTTACTCCGATGATATAAGTGCCATGAAACAAATCGTTCGGTAATACGTCAGTGATGTATAAATTATGAAAAAGGACTGTAGTCATGTAGTATTCGCGCATGATTTTAAAAGCTTTTAAGAGACTGGCACTGGAATTGAAATTGGTACATACGAGAAAGAGACCATATGTCGTTTGTCTGCAATGGCAAGGTTCCAAATATTTCTTAGCAGGGCAAACCATAATAGCGCAGGAAGCAAAAGCAATGAATAACGCAGAAAGAGAAATTATTCGAATTAACAACATTGCCGTTGAACGTACTTTGAAAATTTCAGAAAGTATCTTTATTGCTGGAACTCTTAGTGAGGGAATGATCAGGGCAGCATTTATGTTAGGTAGTATTTGCTGTTTATCTGTGCCTTGTGGACCGAATTTATCTATCGAGTGAAACAGTTTTGAGGTAGTTGATAAGCTAAAAGCTCGAGAAAGGGAAAAGCTGTTTCAAATAAAACTTGCTGAGCTCCATTTTAAAATATTTAGAAAAAAGATTGCAGCTACAGGAGCAGATATCTGTTCATATCACAAGTTCAATGAAATATATAAGAAAGTTATAATAATAATGCAATAATAATGCGATTCCCAATAATCATGCAATTTCAATAATTTCAAAAAGAAAAGTCTGAAAGGTTTCAGATTTTAATATATGCCTAAAGAAGCGCTTCTTTAACATTTTGTCTGTTACCTTTATTTATTAAATATCACGTTCTTCGCACTTAAACCAGTTCAAGAGCAATACTGGAAAATAGTTTTAAATTGAGCATATTGTAATGTATTTTGCAGTAATTTACAAAACAGACAATCTTCTTAGTAGAACATAAATTTTATTTCTAGTTCTCGGTGATAGACAAATTTTATACAATTCTTAAGTGGCAAAATTTTAATACTACTCCTAGCTGGCAAAATCTTCAGAATACTAAATCTTTTTAAAACAATATCTCTCCTTACTGAGTAACGGTTTGATACAAATATGGCGTTGCCACTTCAACAATAATTATACTTATTTATTAAATAACAAGATATTACAATATCTTTAGAATTTACGATACAGAGTCTCGCGTACTGGAGATAAAATTTTTTTCCCTTAGAGCGTTGGCATTGCTCGCTTTGAAATCTTTCAGTTTGTTAATCAAAAATTCGTTAAAGTTTTACAAAATAGGAAATTGATAATAAAACAAATTCCAATTTTCAAATTTGGGCTTCCACATGTCCGTATTTTGTAGGAGGATTACGTCATTCAAAATTCGATGGCTCTATGTACCAGATTTTTTATTATTTAATTTCTTCAAATATAAAGCAGGACTGTAACATTTGGTGGCAACAGTTTGAAAAGTGAAACGGACGTTTATAGTGAACCGACGCAAAATCGCAAAACGAAAACAATAGTCCTTCTGGGACAAAGCCCCTTTGGAGTGAAATAAAGATCAGCTTAGGAACTAAGAAGAAAACGGAATTGCTTTGTAATTTTGACGTTAGATTAATAATTACAATGCTGCAGCACCCAGTAATTATTTAGCTCTGTAAAGCTTTTTTTTTTTTTTATCAGTTGATTTGTGATCACACTCAGACTGAAGTACTGAGTTCCAGATGCGAGACTGAGATACGGTTAAGCAAATGAAAAAGTCGTAGAAAGGATGTTTACGTGCGTTTTTCACATCTGCCATTTTATTTTTTAATACAATTATTAGTCAGAATACGTACTATTTCATTATCAATGAGGAATTAATTTAAATTTTGTTTTCTAGTTATAAGGAAGGATATAATGATGGATTTTTATTTGAAAAGGAGACTTTGCCGTTTTTAACGGCATTTTGATAAAATTTTGATGAGTATTTTTAAATATAATTTTAAAGCATAAAATTTAAAATTTATGCTATATACACTTTATTGAGCTTTCCGTTCTCATTGTTGTTTTAACAAATGCAAGGTTTGTCTTTCAGTAGCTTCACAAGAGGAGATTTGTATAATCTTCATGAGAAGTAAAAGATGTGTAGTCGTTTAAAAAAAAAAAAAAAATACTGTTATGTAAAGCATTGTTTTGAAAGAGTTGTTTATTCAGGTATTTCTTTTAAAATAT